AGAGAGAGAGAGAGAGAGAGAGAGAGAGAGATATGTTTGTGCTCATGTTATTGTGTAATACAGTGATTGACTTCTTCAATGACAAATTTCAATTGTTTTAATTTGTCAGTGTCATATCATTATTATGCAACTGAATTTGTCATTAGGTGAATTCGCCATTTCGTTGGTTTTAGATTGGTCCATAGCTATCAAACTTGTGTATTCATTGTATGTTTGCTTTCATGGAAATTCTCTTTGAATAAAAACTCAGTGATGGCCATTGTGGGTACAGAATAAATGCATAAGTAATCGAGTCTAAAAAAAGACACAGGGTTTATCTATAGAAAGTATTCGGAAATAATATTTTACTGTTATGCAATAGTGTCTCCTCGCAGTGAAAATACTTTACATTTATCGCTATTTTGGTTCTTGTCCATGAATGTTTGTCTACTACGACGGCTTTTTAATACATGTATTGTGTTTGAAGACACTAATCTTTATTTGTAAAGAAAAAAAACACCATTGTGTGAGCAGGAACATGTAAATATGTACAATCTCCCGACAGTGCTGTTGAACAGTAATACGATGACTAGAGCGTTTATTTCGATCTAGCCTATGTGTGAAAACGATGCACGAAATTACACTATCTGCAATGTTATAGTAAGTACATATACTTCTTTTACTGGAGTAGACCACATTGCTTTTTAATTTTTGTTAAAAGTCAACGTAATACCAATGGGACAGCGGAAAAGACAGGGAACTTTTAATGGTAAAAGGTCGCTAACACACTTATCCCAAGATGCATAACGTAATGGCACAGAGACGGCTTTTAACCACGTTGCCACTATCACCGTGTGAAGGATGACATTGTCTATCATGATCATGTTATTGTCTGCCATAAAGAATTATGCTACATATGAACATAGTCAGGTTCCTGAGAAAAGTGACTGTGTACTGATTAAAAGGAAGTAAATGCCAGTAAATGGGAAACGAACTAGAGAATGGCCTCCCTTTGCACCTACAAAACCTCGAGCATAATTATGAATATCATTTAAAGATTCTAATTCCCAATCAGTCTCGGGCAGACCACAATTTGAAGTTAGAGCACTAAAAGGGGGAAGAAAGAAAGAAGAAGAAAAGGAAAAGACAACATTCGTGTACTGAAATAAAGATAATGTATGAACATCTATGAGTATGTTCTACAGCGCCATTACCCAGGCTGAGCCTCCTGCTGGTGAGCAGTATAGTCCCCACTCCAGCTCACGGTGGCTGGTATATTAATTATTACTGAGACGTAGCCAATACCTCGAGGATAAGAAAGCACAATGTCGTATTTCAAGATATTGTTTTTTTTCGTTTTTTTTTTAGAACTGATAGATTTGTGGCAGCAGGAAGATAGGAGTAACTTTTAAATTTTAAGTGAAACATGTAAATCAGGAACTGTATAAAAATACGGACGGTCAAGAGATACATGCACCCTTACTATTACTAGATCTGACGCAGTGTGGGCAATCGGTCGCTTTTTCCCTTCTCCAGAACCGTTGCATATTTAAAGATACAGCCGGTTTCTTCCTTACCGTCAACACGTACAATTAGCAGGAAGGAGGGCCACAAGTTAATACTTGCTTCGGAAATCGCGTGTGGAACAATCGTAAAGCACCCACAAAACTGTGACCAGCAAATTGTCCTTGACTTGCTTGACAGCGGCACGGGGAGCCAGGGGACTTATCCCGTCATACAAGGGAGAAATAGGTAGGAGGGATGTTCCAGAGGTTGGTTTTTTATGGACAGCTTTTTCTTAAAATCTTCAAAGTAGAGATTACTCACCACATTAATTTACAGAATAAGCCGTATGGTTCCAACAAAAATTGCCGCCGTCTGGAGAGTCATTTTGTTTTTAATTTTTAATTTTTATTTTCTAAAATGTTTGTTTTTGGTGGGTTGTTGTTGTTGTTTTTTTTTGGGGGGGGGGGTTACTGCATGTAATGACACCATAGACT